GAATGCCGTGAAAGGTATAAAACTTTTTGCAAAACACCGTATTGGAATGGGCGGCATTCTGTAAAAAGTGATTGCGCCTCAGGGTGAAAGCCTGGAGACTGGAGCAAGGTCATATAATGCATTGCACACAGAAGAAAGGTTTTTTCAGAAATGGGAATGCAAGATAGCTGTTTACATTGAGCTATGATGGCATTGATGAAAAAAGGCTTCATAAAAATATAGTAAAATACTGTAATAAAATATAGTGCAGCATATAAAAGCGGTAGACTGGAGGGATCTGTGGAAAAACTTTGAATTTCCCAGTATTTTTACATCTGTGTAGGCGCTGTTGTGTTACATATTGTATATATTGGAATGGCAGCAACATCACACAGCGATATCTGTGTCTCTTACATTGAGCGATATCCACAGTTCATGGATATCGATCAATGTAAAAAAGACTTGATTTTTTTTTCATAGCAAATTTACTATTTTGCCTAGTAACTATTACTGTTTGTGTTATTACGGCTTGACAGGCATTTGCTAATAATCGCTTAAGAGGACCCAGACTAGTGCTGTGCTGCTTTAGTTTACAGTCTGTTGGATTCTTCTGAGTATAAACGTACTAAGAAGCAGGGTACGTATTGCCTTTGTTCTGTGTATACATGTATGTATGGTGAGCATTGACAGACTTCTAAGCTTCTGGAGTTGTGGAAAAGCGAGTGACTGGATGCTTTACTTCATTATTAGATTAGATGGTTCTGGAAAACTGAATAGGAAAACAGTCTGCACTGTGACTGGAGGAGAATCTTGTCTGAATCGGCATCCAAACTTAAACACCAGTCTTTTTACCTTTCGTATAAAACTGTAACTAGAATGCTGTGACTGCATGACAGTAATGCTGCTATGAAATACATCTGTTTGGGTGGGATGGTCCTACTGGAGCGTATCTTCCAGGCAAAAGACTGCATAAATCACAAAAAAGGGACAGAAGAAGAGATTAAATTATAAAGCATTTCAGTTCATGAAATTTCTTTTACAGTCATGGCTCAGGTGAGATGACAACTCTGTAGACCCTAAACAAATTAACTTCTCTTCAAGGAAAGGATTTATTAGATAGTGTAGCACTTTCTGTTAAGGAAAAAAAACCAAAACAGAATGTGGCTGAGACTTATTCAGAGTGTCACAGCCTAAAGGCTGAGTAACCCCTGATGTTACCCTTATTTTGGCTGGAAAGGTTACTGTCCCCAAGCCCAGCCTTGGAGCTCGTCACAGCTCTCCTTGTTAGAAGCAATCCATTAGATAGGGTTCTGTTGTTTAAGCTGTCAAATAGGGGAGAGGCATTAGGGAGCACTCATGTAAGTGCTCACCCATCATCCGTGGGACTAGCAGTAATCACAACCAAGGGTAAGGACTCGGAGGAATTACTTTAGTTATTAAATTATTGTAGCAGGCCCAGGTTCAGCCAGATGGGATTGTGTAGTCGGATGTTCAGTGTTAAACCTCTTGTGTATCTGAATGAGGATCGGATTCAGGTTAGTACTTTGAGTGTTTCTGACCACCAGAAAATAAACCATGGCAGAATAATGAGAATGCTCCAAGCATGTCTGGAAAATACAACATTTTATAGGAGCCCATTACCTGTTATTTTTTTAAGGTAGTGTATTTGTCTTAAAAGGCAAAAAGGTCATTTTTCTAATGCATAGCAACTCCATCTTGTGATCTGAAACTCTCCAACTTTTTCCATCACTAGTAATGATGAATTCTAATGCATCTTAGTTGACAACTTTGTTCAGGAATGGCTGACAAGAACCCATTCCTGTCCTAAATAGGCATTTTGGCTCTGAAAGGATGACAGAAATAGAAAAGATAGTTTTGTTGGTGAAGTGCAACACCATGTGTTTATTTCCAGTGGCTTCCTTAACTGTGAGAGGCTTCCCACCTCTGCTGTCCCTCCCTCTGCTACTGCTTTATAGCTTCATGTGTACTTTGGTATTTCATTTGCAAAGCTGAGCTGCGCAGGACAAAGTAGGATCCTCTGTTCTTGATATGCATTGCCAAATCACCTCCCCATAAGTACTGAGTGTTTTCCTCAAGATGCAGAATACCAAGGATAGTTTATTGTACATCACTTCTCAAAACTTTATATAAATGGAGTATCTTTAATACAACTGTTCACAGAAATGCTAAGGCTTTATTCTGTTTTTATTGTGCTTTAGGTAACTTAAATTTACCCTTGAAGGCATGTATATATGGATGTGTTGGCAAATTAAAGCTCAAGAAAATATGAATGTGAATAGTTGAGCTTAGCACCATCTGATAGCTAAGTTACTACTGGACTCTTACAAGTGTCATTACACATTAAAACTTTCTGGTTGAGCAAACAAGTCTTCTGCCTGCCATAGGCACTAAGGTTATGATTTTCCTGTTCTGTTTGGGATAGTGTTGCTGTCAAATCAGTGTTGCAAATAGCGCGTAGAGCTCATGGAAGCAAACAAGTGGCTTAAACTAAGGTACTAAATGCTTTTTGAATAGATTTATTCTCACTTCAATTTGTTCATTGTTAGATACTAAACCAGTTGGTGTTTAGACACGCACACAAAAAAAAGCAGCTTATTAGCTTCATTCTGGAATTTAAGGAAGGAGATATTTTGAGCTAACTTGCCATAGACTTTCTTTTTTAGGTACAAAATTACATTTAATATAACATGAATAAAAATAAAAATGGAATTAGTTCAAAATTGATCTTTTTTCCCTGATGAGCTCCTTATGGGAACTAGAGAAGGGTCTTCATGCATGCTTCTTTCAGTCTGTATTTGCTTTGGAAAAATTCAGGGAGTTGTGGATTGCAAAGACTGAAAGGCCCTAAGAGTGTTTTGGAACATTTTTTTCTTGGGTAAGAGTTACCAAAGAGCTCAACATTTTTATAAATGTTGAAGAAAGCCACACTTTGTGAGACAAATTAGTCTATTTATTACACATGTGGAGTTGGAATAGAGTGAATCCATAATCCATCAGGAGAGGCATTTTCATGATAGAAGGATAGATAAATGAGGAAGTAGTGTCTAGTGTAGTTCCTCTGGCAATTATCTGCATTGATAAAATAAGTTCTCTTTCTACTTGACTAGTAAATATAGCGTCCAAGTAATATTAGGAAGTGCTACTTTTAAATATATCTCCCATCACCATCACGACTTTCCCTTGGTCGAGGAGGACTGTGTGAGGGATCGCTTAAGTGATCTGGATGTCCACAAATCCATGGGCCCCGATGGAATGCACCCACGAGTGCTGAGGGAGCTGGCGGATGTCATTGCTGAGCCACTCTCCATCATCTTTGAGAGGTCCTGGAGGACAGGAGAGGTGCCCGAGGACTGGAGAAAGGCCAATGTCACTCCAATCTTCAAAAAGGGCAAGAAGGAGGACCCAGGGAACTACAGGCCGGTCAGCCCCACCTCCATCCCGGGAAAGGTGATGGAGCAGCTTATCCTGGAGGCCATCATCAAGCAAGTGGAAGAAAAGAAGGTTATCAGGAGTAGTCAGCATGGATTCACCAAAGGGAAATCATGCCTGACCAATCTGATAGCTTTCTACGATGACATGACTGGCTGGGTAGACGAAGGGAGAGCTGTGGATGTTATCTACCTTGACTTCAGCAAGGCTTTCGACACAGTCTCCCATGATATCCTCCTAGGGAAGCTGAGGAAGTGTGGGCTGGATGAGTGGTCGGTGAAGTGGATAGAGAACTGGCTGA